AGAGAGAGAGAGAGGAAAGGAAAGGAAAGGGTATGCACTATGTATACTATGTGTGTACGTGTATATCAACGATTCATTTTCGCACATTCGTCTCTCACTCTCTTTCGAATCGATCTGTCAGTCTGTCAAAAGTCAAAAGTGGGGAGAACTTACTTGCAGCGAGCGATGAAATATCCAAATAATTAGAAATCCTCGATTCCAGCCACCTTGGCGAGTTTTTTTAACGTTAATCTTTCGTTAGCTCGAGTGGCGCGAGCTCACGCGGCTCGTTAACGCCGTTCGCGCACTTTTCTTCTTCTTCTTCTAACGGAATTAGAAAAATAATGATATTAAAAAAAAAAAAAAAAAAAAAGAAGGGAAAAAAAATACAGGAGAAAGAAGTAGAAATTTATGAAGAATATTCGGTCGTGTTCGTCGTGGTCGTCGTCACTGTGTGGTCGTCGCTCCGTTTATAATATATCCTGTTCGTTTCGCCCTGCCCTCTTGTCTCTCCTTTTATACGGAACGTCTATCTTGGCCGTCCCAGTCACCGGGGCCCCGCGCGCCAACTAACCGCACGAAATACCGCCGTCACACCTCGACGTCCAGTCCAGAGATTCTGCGTCGGCGCCACTTACTCTCGATAATTATTTCTCCCTGATCCCCTCCCACCGCCTGCGCACGCCTACGCCCCTCCTCCTCCCTCCCCCCAATTTCGAGGCTGACTCCTGACACTGAGTCGCCTGACCACCACCGAGTCCTGCGCGATCTTTCGCCTCCTATCAACTCCATCCTTCGCCTATCCGAGGTATCCACCCCTTTCCGCCCCTCGCGTCTGCGCTCACACCTTCCACCCTTATTCTTGGCACTTCCGTTGCTATTGAACTTGAAACCTTGTAATTAGTGGGGGAAGGGGCGAGGGGGATACCGATCGAGTTGACGCTACCGCGAAAATAACATGGTCGAATGGTCCTATTGTTCGTTTTCGTTACACGTTTCGTGTGGACAACGGTACGAGTAAAAACGGATAAACAATAGTCTCATAGCCGAGTTAATTATCATTGCAACCAAATTAGCCGGATGACGGAACGTCGAAGAAATCGGTGTGCAAGAATTTTACGTTTGTGTCCTTGGATTGAAATTAGATTACGCGTAGCAAACTTGATAGGTATTCTTATCTTTAAATATAACCAAAGTAGATTGAGTGTAAAAGTAAAAGATCGATGAATCAACGAGAACGAATTCGACGAATATAATACGCGCGAGGATATAAGACGCGATCAAAGTTTCATCGAAAGTCGATTCATTGTCATCCATCTCAAGAAATTTAATCGTTGAATTTGATTTAGATAGCGAACAATAGCGGAAAGGTATCAATGGTAATAGGAAATAGGACTTCGCGCGAACGAGAAGTAGGTCTTGGCCACCATTCTCGACGAAAATAAGTTTTTCACTAGCCATCGACAGTTTCGACGGTTAATCGATGTTTTTTTCGCTTCGAATGGCGCCACGTCATCGCTACAACTTAACGGATAATAACGTTCAATTTACAAATCGTCAAATTTGCAAACATATTTAATTTTGAACAGTGTTCGAAACATTTTTGGCCAACTTTCAAAACTTCGATCGAGTACACACTGTCGATATCTGCTCAAATTTCTTACAATTCTCGTCTGACTAATGCAGTTTATCTTTCCTCTTATTCTCTTTCCGCCAAATTGATCACACCGAGACAAATCGAAATAGATGTACGAACATCGACCCTTTACGAAACTTATTGATCACTTTTTAACATAAAAATTTGTCTTCCTAATTAAAAATATACCTAAAAAGTCTAGAAAATAATGATGGGAAAATGACATTTACGTCAGAGAAAGTTCCTAGCCCCGCTGAATCATATTTGATACACGAACAGTTGCAATATGCGATATTACGTGTATAATAGATATAGAACATTTTTTCGTGTAAATAAGGAAATGTTACGATACGTTCTTAGTGAGTAACAAATGAGATATCGTGAGAGAGATAAAGAGGAGAAATCTCGCAGCCGATGTCGAGATACGAGTCTCTCTCAGTTCTGGCAAGCCAGGCACTTTTCTAAATATACACGATCACCCCTCACCGCTCAATCTATCTTTGCGTATTAGAATCTATACCTAACGACCTGAACACTCGCGCTTCCACGTCGTCGATATCCACGAATCCGATCTTATTCCAGAATCGGGTGATCAACAATAATGTTACGACAAAAATTCTTCCCTCTCTTTGTCATCCAATTACGACTAATTACTGAAAAGATTTAACAATTTAATAAATACGATAATACACGTCGTAGAAATAGATCATAATAATTAAATCTTAAAACCTAAGATTTAAATCTTGTCGATTTGCTCGATAATTATTTCCTCATGATTAGAAAAGCGTTCTGCGCATCATTTTTCAAATCGACCGTGAAAATTTTACCTGGAACGATCGAGACGAGAAGATCGATACGATTGAATCGGATGTTGCCGAATGATTTATGGGAAAAGGTATATGGTTCATCACGGGCAAATAAGCAAAGCCGCTATGTAAATTTCGCGTTTTCGCGGAAACAAAAACATCAGAATTAAAGAAGAAAAATGCCAGAGAACGTTTTAACAGAATAAGCGAGCCACACGAAGTTTATCTTTCCGTAATGGTACTCTGGTTTCGAAACTGCATCGTCAATGCTTTCGTTGTCCATGACGTAGATACTTTTCCGCAAGTCTGGAACGAATTTTCCAGAATCAGTTGCGTCGAACATGTCAATCAGATTTATCTCAATTTAATCTCTTTACTGATTATTAGTTATGCACAAAGCGGAATACTTTCGGTATTCATATGTCATGTCAGCACACAAAATTTTATATGTACTCAAACGATCGAAAAAAAAACTTTCGTTACGAAACGAATGATCCATGCCACTAAAATTTCACACGTCTTATGCTCGAAATATTTTTAGGTTGCTTTACTTTTAGCACGAAAGACGAAAAAATAAAGGTAATCCGTGACTCTTCCAATTTATTAGTTTTCATCCAAGTTTTCCACATCGAAGAATATTGTTTGTTTAAGCTTACATCTTGGTATCTTTTTTATCTAGCATCGTGTAATCATTTCGATTATTCTCGATACAAATCGATATATCTTGATCGATATAAATACAGTAACACGTGTGCAGATTTGCGTGCAGAACCACCAATATTTTTACAGTGCTACCAACTGCGTTTGTTATCGTTCATTGGTTAACGGTCGAAATGGCACTATGCGCGTACATGTTCCGCCATCTATCATCCTTCCGTCAAGAGAAGTAGAATTAAATGGGAAAAAAGGGATGTTTCGATAAGAATTGGAGTAATCACGAATCGTTTATTTGTACGTTTATCAGATTTTCCTGCGAGCAAGTGGACCCGAGTGGGCGAATGGCTCGAGTAATATGGAACAGCCGATCTAAACTTAGTCGTTGGTCCGTTCTGGAAATAGATGTTATGAGTGCGAGGACAAGACAAGATACCGGCCTCTATTATGCGTACGAACACGTATCGCGAACGATCTGCTTTCGATTCTCCCTTCGATCACGAAATTCTTTTAAAGCGATGATTTCTTCCTTCCCGACAAAAATTTCAAATATGTCAAATATATTGATGAGACAATTGACGATTTTCAATACGAACAAAGAATTTAAAATATCTATGTATTATCTTTTCCTTCATTCGTTAATATTAATAATATTTTATTCACTTTGAAACGTTTCGAAACATTGCGTGCTTAACTTTAAAATACAGTAGAACGTCAATTATTTAAAGATTAGTTATTCAAATAAATTCAAACACAGAATGAGAATGTATTTAAACTAGCATATCTCCCTATGTTTATATTCTGAAACACGTATTCTGAAAAACGATTAAAAATTTAATTGTAATGCAAATTCTCTTATTATGAATTTTTTATTTAATAAACATCCATGTTTGAAAATTGTTCAATTTTAGTTATTTGCGAATATAATTATTGAGAAATTTAACTCTTCCTTATCAATTATCTGATTTTTTTTTTTAATTAATTCGATAATCGATATTTTATTGTATATAAATCTACTGTTTACAAGTTTCCATATCCTAACTAGACAGTTACTGTGCAAAAGTGTCAGCAGAGTGTTTATAACGTCTAGCGATGCATTTATTTAGCGAGCTGATATCTATTTTGGGAGAAATTGCATCTTGGAATAACGCGTTGGAAAGCAGCACAGTCAACAACGGATCATGTCGAGTTAAAATAACGTCAACGATTACCGAACATTTTGAAATGTTAACCATGTGTACAAAGCAAGGTATTCGAGAAATGAAAGAAGAATTGAGAATGAAAGAAATTGTAATCAAGTAAAATTTAATATATTTATATCGTAATTGATTTTAATTGTGAGCAAATAATTTCTTTTTAATTCGAATAAATTTGATTAAAATCAATGAAAAAAATTCCGTTCCTAAAATTCATTTTTATGTATGTACGAATGACAAATTCAAAAACCATTCTGCATTTCTTGCCTTTCTATTCTTAGAGTATTAAACTCCCACGCGGTTACTTAATGTCCCAGACTCATACTACGTAAGTATTCACTGATTTACACAATTTGATAATTTTATCATATAACAATATCATACGCACTTGAAATTTTATTTCAAAATATATCACTCGTTAACTTTCACTTGTTTTCCTTTTATTAGAAATTATATCGATTTATCCTCGATGTTCTTTAATGTCATCCCCACGTTAATGTCATATTAGCTAGTTATTCTACATTAACTTCCACATATCGAACTAGTATATAAAAATAGATAATAGTAAGAATAATTATACATTCCTTGTTTAAGGTTATGAAATCTAATGTTGTCACTATATATTTTCTTATTGTTTTTAACAATTATGTATCTTCAATTCCGAAATCGATGATTTGCAGCAATGGTATATTTGTTGTTAACGTATAACGTCAAAATCGTTTCAATATCGAGAGTGAACGAGACGATCGGCACAATTCCAAAAAACAGGCAATCCTCGATAATCTCGAAATAACGAGAACCGTATTCCTTCTCTCACGTAGCATTACAACGACACATCTTCTCTCCATCTTCGTCGCATAAGAGACGTATCTATATTTCTTCTTCTTCTTCTCACCTATACATAGTTGCACGACTGCCGATTATTTTTGGATGTGGCGCGACAAAGAAAATGTGATTTCTGAGTGCATACGAATGACCAAGAACGCTAATCGATGTGTCGGAAAGAGAAAGATCGTAGAAAAGTTGGATCGAGAGAGATGTGAGTGTATGCGTACGCGCGAGTTTGAGAAGGAAAAGAAGAAGGAAAGAGAAATAGAAGGAGAAGGAAAAAGAAAGACAGAGAAAGGATAAACGAAAGATAAAGATAGAGACGAAGGGAGGAAAAGAGAGTGGAACAAGGAAAGCAAATATCGTGAAAACGGTTAGCGCCGTCGGCGTAACCTGAGAGCTTTTCGGACCCTGCATCCATATATGTCCGCCTCATATACTCTTTCTCACTCGCACTACATTCAATCCCGTTGTGCTTTCTTGCTTCCACTTATCAATCAAATAATCTGCCTTTGTAACTCTTTTTTCCCTATTTTCTTCTATATATTTATATGCTATTGACCTATTAGAATTCATTAATTATTTATTTTATTTTTTTATTCGCAATATTTTTCCTTTTTTCCATATTATCAATGTATTGTTAATGTAATCTTTTCATATACTGCACTGTATACTGTTCTACTATGCATACTATTTCCTTACAAATATCAAATCTATATACATTTATATAATTTACTATTATACATATTTTTTTCTAAATCTATACAATAGCAAATTTATTATTGATGCTAATACTAATATATTTTTATAATCGATAAATTTTAATTGATTAATTAGTTATTTTTGAAGAATTTGTGAAGAAAATTGTTTTACCATAAAAATAATTACATCCACGAATCAACAAGACAAGACAAGATATAGAAGTTTTTCGCATTTTAAAAATGATTAATTAAAATGAATATTTTATTAAAAGAAAATAAAATAAAAAAGTATAATAAATGTTTCTCATAATTATTCATCAAATCAAATATTTCATAGTAATTCAAATAAAGTATTAAAAAAACAAGTATTAAAAATATAAAATTTTAGATTTTTTTTTATGATTATAACATATCCTATTCTAAACTACAGACGAAATAAAGAATTTATATTAATATCTTTGCCCCGATCGTGCAAGAAATAAAGATTTTGATAAATTATCTATGATTTAATACATTGATTTTAGAAATTATATCATAGATATGATATCATGTCATATGAAATTTTTTATATTTTAATTTTAATCTTAAAAAAAACTTAGAATAATACAGATAAGAAATAGAATAGACATGGAAAATTTTGTCTTATATATTTTAAAATACCGATTATAAAAAAAAATTAGTGTTTCTTATCCCCTTTAGTAAATTATAATCTAAACACATCAAATTTAAATTGAAAATATTGAAATATTTAAAAAAAAAAAGATTTTAGAAAATGATACAACTGATCAAATCTCACAAATTATCTACACTGTCATTTGTGAACAGTATGAAAAAGTAAAATAACTTATTAAAATTAATTTAAATATTAAATAATTTAAAAAAAATTTTAAAAACCAAGAAATCACAAGTAAAACAATGAAGTTAATTTAATCGATATTTAATCGTCTCAGAGATTAAAGAAGGATAACAAATAATATAAGAGATAGAGATAGGGTAAAAATTAGGAAATCAACGCCATCTCTAGAGTGTTGTACACAACATGTAATAGACAGAAAAGAAAAATAAATGACAGGGAAAGGATAGACATAGAATAAGAATTGACCATCAACGCCATTTTTATCAAATTTTTCTGAAAGTTATTAAGAAATGACGCTGATTGTTAATTCTTACTCTACTTTATCCTTTGAAAATTTTATTTTCAATTATCAAATTTCTATTCTATGTTGTATCACTAACCTTGAAATTGACACTAAAATGAATACAAGAAAGTTTTCGCGTTGTAATAGCGATAAATTCACTACTGTACATTTCTAATATAAAATTAAGTTACTTATAATTTCTAAAAAATAAATTTTATAATAATATTTTTGCATATTAACGTTTATCTTTATTTAAAATTAGTTTTTTAAAGAGATGTAAAACCACATTCTATACTAAAATAATAATGAATATTAATTAATTATAAGTTTTCAAATGAATAGTAAAGAAGAAGGTCATAAAAAAAACATGAATAATATACATACATACAATACTATTTATACAGAGATGTATGTAGATAAACATAATTTGATGAATAACGTACAATTAAGTATTGTCATCGAAGCTAATTCTTAAAGTTATGCTTAGAAAATACATTAAACATGTGCAATAATTGTAACAATATATGTATTTAACTCTTAATTAGAGCATTTATATACATTGCAAGAAATCGGTGCAATAATTCGTATGAAAAATTAACACTTTAAAAAATTGTAAAATATAATAATATTTTGATTATAAAATATTACTTTGTTTTCAGTGATTACAAATTTGTGATTTATTTTTTTAATAGAATAATAAATTTTTATACCAGTAAAAATTTAAAAATACAAGTTTTAAGCATAAAGAATCATTGATTTAAATTTCACACTATGGCATAATATGCTATAAATATATTTTTCTGCAGTTTTATATTAAATTTTAATTGATATGAAAAATGAATAATTTCTTTTCCAATGATTCTCTAAATTTAAAACTTATATTTTTGTAATCTATCTAAATTGAATAATTATCAAGAGAAAATAAATAAAATATTTCTGATCGCTCAAAATGAAATTTAGGCTATGATTTCAAATTAGATACCGATACATTAATTTCATTTTTAAATTCGGATAATTTTGAATGCGTTATACAATAGCCGCCACACAAATTATTATGTAAAATAAGATATAATAGCAATAATAGGTTGCACCGATCTTGATACTCAGAAATTTAATATTTACAAAAATGAACATGCGTATACATCGAACTTCGCAAAAATATTGCGATAAAACGAAAAATATGTAAAAATTTATACAATACATATTCGATACAAAATATTAACCGATAGATAAATGAATTAGTTTTAAATGATCCGATGTTTTTAATCAAGAATACGATTGATTAATCAGTCGCTGTAGCATGCAGCGTTAACATTCGCAATTCAAAATAAAATTTGAATTCATTTCACATTGATTATTAGTAGAAGGCAAAAATACCAAGAAATTTGAATTTGAATTTAAATACAACAAAAATGATAAATAAATAAAATTTTACATAAAAATTATTTTTCTAATTGTAATTTTCTTACAAATTTTTTAATTTCTTTCTATAACAAGATTATTTTATTATATTTGCAATTTACGTAATTGTTCATTGTCATGACCACTGAACAATTTTCTATTTATCTATTTTCGATTTACGTCATAAAAAAAAATATATCTTTTTGCACATTATGAAATTTTTTTCAAAATGATAAGAGCTTTAACGAAATTATGGATAAAAGAGAACAATTATGTTTATCGTGCTTTAGATAAGAATCCATACAATTACAAAAGCGTCTGATTTTATCTATTTCACAAAGATAGACGCATAGTACAAAATATCATTATTCTAAAAAATTATAGTTTAAAATAATATTGTTTAGGAATTCTGTTATCAATATTCATATTAGATCCATACGAAACATGATGGTTAATTAATTTATCAATTGAATATTAAATGCATTATTTTGATATTCATTACTTGACTAAAAATATATTTAGACAAAATTAACTAGATCTCAAATTTGCACAAAGTCTCTCAAAAAACAATGAGAAGATCAATAATAAATTATTCTCTTTCGTTGTAACATTTAATCAGAATACATGATAATAAATTTATCGATATTTATCATGACTAAAGAAATTATCGCAAGATGAAATGTATATCGGTACATATCGTGCGAAAAAAAAAAACAAAACATCTAGTTTCCAAGTATTCACGTAAAATATGAAACACGACGCAAAAGGATCACGACGACGATAATTGAAAGTTACACAACAAGTTGTCGTAATATTTAGCAATGTTAGAGAATAGTTTCCTGCAAATCCTGCGACTTTCGGTTCGTCCCACACGCTATGTGCAACCTCTAATGGGACAAGGAAATTCGCCCAAATCTTCTCACTATTGTTTCGTCGCATTTTTACGCGCTGTTACATTCCTTAACTTACATAATCCGTATGAATGTTGGCAGAATCTTTACTGCATCAAATATCGATCGATTTTTATCATAACTTTCTTTGTCCATGTCGCAATAACTTCGAGATATCTTAGCTTTGAAAAAAATATACATTCTTTCAATGCACAATAAAAGAACGAGCGATATATTAAATTTAAAAAGAAATAATAGAAATTATCGATGACGCACACGTCACGCGACGCGCGTCGCGCAACGTCCTACACTTTCTCTCGCATCGTCGTGATCGTCCTTGATGCGCATAATTTTCGCTATAGTTAACAAGATTACTGTATAGTCTACTAGAATAAGAAACTTTTTTTCCAATCGATTGGATATGTTTCAACAATGTTCACACTTTGGAATAATTCGTAACATTTTGTTGTGCATTGTTCCCTTAATATTTATCAAACATTCATATTATTCAATTTTAAAGAAACTATGGACATATGTGCACGTAATCTATATATATATATATATGTTATGTATATATATATATGTGTGTGTGTGTGTTAGAAGTTTCGAAAATTGTTGGAAATTTGAAAAGATTGTGCGCATGCGTTCAGTTTAGCGCGTATAAACGTAGCCCGATGTCCATCCGAATAAAATCGACCACGACGTAAGGATTCTATCTATTAATAGCGAGATAAAAAGGAGCACCGCGCATAGTCGACAAATTATCAAACGAGGCAGACGAAATTGCCGTTATAACTTTTGTACGATGTCAAATTTGTCCTTGAAACCGATCGATTCTTTCTTCGGATCGTATTTCTTGCGAAGAGCTAGCTGGGCTCTAAGTTCTTTGGCACTCATTTTCAGGTTCAAACCCTGTCGTGACTCGTTACCGGTGACGTTCCCGTTTCCTGTACCGTGCACGTGCGCCATCGTCGTCGTATCGTTCTTAATACTGTTCCCGTTCTCTTGGCCAGTTTCCTCGCGTTCGCTCTCGTTTTCGTTATCGTTCTCGCTTCTGGTCGATGTTCTCGTTGCACTTGCCGATACCGTGCTGCTCTCGCTATGCAACGTATCGTTCGATCCACTTGATTTTTGTGCGTTCTGAAAATAACATTCCTTTTATTCCCTTATCTACGTATAATATACGTTATTTTTCTTTTATCTCTCTCTCTCTCT